CTCTCTCTCTCGCTATAAGTCTATGATATCTATCGATGCATTTGTTGTCTCAAAACTATTCATTACTCTTATATAATATAATGTACTCTTATATACAGAGAAGCTCATGGTGAAATGTAATAGTAAATAGTCAACACTGTATGAGTTATAAATATAGCGATTTATAGACAGATTCATATTTGATAGCATTAGTCATGCTATAACTTAAGTATAACCTCACTATACAAAAGTGGCCCTACAGTGGCCCTAGCGCGTTTTTATGCTTATATAAGTTATATTCAATAAACAAATCAATTCAATTAAACAATACAATACAGTACAGGCCAGCCAACAAACTACAGTCGCTATTATATACAATATAGTATATTTTACATGTATATTGCATATTGTATATTTTATTGTGTGTAGTATGTATTTTACATTCAATGAAAACAATAGACCGGATGTGAAAAACACAACTTTAATCCCTTTATATCTATATCTATGAGTTATATGTGTATATATTAGTCAAAAAAATGCACACAACAACTGTTACCACATTCTCTTTTTTCTATCCCTCTATAGTTTTCACTACTGTACCCCTCACACACCCCTCTTATTATATGTAACATCTTTTTTACATTTATTTACAACAGTCTATTATAAAACTGATAATGCCAATTGTTTGGTAGAGGTGTCAGCAGTAGTGGTGTATATGCGGTAGTGTTTGGTTGTATTGAAAAGCACTACAATTTCATACAATAATTGTATGTTTTGTTTACTAAAAAAATTGTTTTATAATTNATAATGCCAATTGTTTGGTAGAGGTGTCAGCAGTAGTGGTGTATATGCGGTAGTGTTTGGTTGTATTGAAAAGCACTACAATTTCATACAATAATTGTATGTTTTGTTTACTAAAAAAATTGTTTTATAATTCAATTGTAAACGAAATGAAAACTATTATTACTTTTTGATTACCATTTGTTGTGACTATTATTTTATGGCGAGTTTTGCCAAACATTTTTCAATGCATATTAAATACAATAATTATCCCTTAAATTGTGGCTAAAATTACATCTCATTTATACATGTATTTTGTAAATACATTTCGGAATTGAATTTTGTTTAAAAAGCATTCAAAACATCTTTTATTGAGATTTATTTCTTTTAATTATTAATTCAATGTTTTTATTGAATAAATTGTGAATATTTTGCGAGAAATTAATAACACTTTGAATTGAAATTTGTTTTTGTTGTGAATTTTATGGCTATTTTTCGGCTCAAATAATGTGTGTTTTTTGAATCACTTTTGCCACTGATTTGGTGTCGCGAAAGACAATACCATTAGTTGTGTCCATCAGATCCACGAAAATGCCCATCAAATCGATTGTTGATTTATATATCTGCAAGACTTGGGAACAGTTGGTGGCGAAGGCGGACGAGGGAGCCGTCAACAGATCCAACGCTAAGAAGTAAGTGTTTTGACGACCATTAGTGACGACACCAACGATAGTAATGCATGTGTTTTGTTGTCCTTTTCGATGATGTGGTGATAGTTTGATCCAAACGGTGGCCAAACTCTACGAAGAGGGCAAGAAGTCGGACAGCGGTGGCGATGAAGAGAGAGCTTATATACTCTTCCATCGGTTTTTCACAAGCATTAAAACAGTGAAGAAATCGGAAGATTACAAGAAAGACGAGAAGTATTACTCAAATATGATTGGTATGAATAAAGTGAAGGAAGTGGTCGAACGCATGGAAGCGTTGGCCACGAGTCTTATGAAACGCTATGATTTGCTCAAAGAGATCAATGAGTTGACGGAAAGGGAACTCAACGGAACCGTTAACAGTGTGTCCATTAATAATAGCAATAGTAATGATTTGAACGAAACAAAGAAACCCAAATCGATTGAAACCGTCGATGAAAGCGGTTATCCGCTCATCGATTGTCAGACATTAGTCGAGAGTTTAGAAAACACGACAGAAATGAATAAAATCCTAATATTGGACACAAGGACTCCTGAAGAATACAGTGTTTCACATATCGATAAACTTCGGACGACTGCAGACCTAAACGTTGTTAATATTCCTCAAAATTTATTAATACCCGGATTGACGACCTCTAAACTGGATTCCGATCTGCCGTTGGGTAACACTTTGGATGTGTTTAGGAGACGGAGAAGTATGTCTAAAGTGATTATCGCTGACCTCCACTCCCACGAAGTCATTGCCAACACTCCTGCCTTTCATTTGGCGGAAGCGCTTTGGAAGGTATGATTTGTTTTACATTTAAATGACATGTTTTTCATTTAATCTGTGTTTCTTGTGTTCAGTGGGACTACTCGTCGATAAAACTGAAGAATAAGCCATTCCTCTTAAAGGGAGGATATGCTGATTGGGTTCTCACATATCCTATGTTTACATCGAATCCTAAATATATATCAAAGAGTTTGCCATTAAATGCGAACAAAAGCCTAAATTTGGGTTTCAATTATGATTTGAGTGAATTTGAAGACAAACCCAAAACACCCAACAATTTAATGGTCAATGGGTTTACGAACGGAGATATAGAAGAGGCCACACAATCACAGAAGGGATCAGATGCGGAACAACAAGCGAATCGTGTAAATCATATATTCAATACGAGGCCAACCAATGTGGCCATTCCGGGCACAGCGAAGCCACTAATACCCGATCGATCGACAAAACCTATAGTACAGCCGGAGATGAGCTCTTCTAATGAGCCGAAGATAGAAGACAAGGAAGACGTGGAGAAAATCAAACTCAGAAAAGTAAATGAAATCAATGAACAAATGATGGAAAATATGAGAGAAGACTTCGAGGGAAAGGTGCAGTTACTAAACAATCAGTTGAATATTAAAAATAAAGAGAATAAGAATTTGATGGAAGCGGTCCGCAAAGCAAAGCCGCCGTCTCTGGTGTCCAATGATTTGAACGATACAAACGATGAAAAGCCAGTGATTGCTATCAATGGAGAGACTAATGGTTTAAATAAACGAAATGCCATTTATATGAAGGTTGACGACAGCGGCGACAAGAATACAAGTGAGACCGACTTACCCAATGGTGTGATGAATGGCCACCGCATGTCTAACTCCATCACATCCACACATAAAGGCGCGAATAAGTCATCGAACAGTCTGTCGGTGTCGTCGAACCTCTCGCGCTCGATATCGTCGCCAAACATCGCTCAGCTGTTGGAGAAGGAGATGAATGGCAAACATATGGATAACATCGATACGAACGAAGCGAAGGAGCGTTCGATGACAACGCCATCGCAGCCACAGTTCGATCGAACGCTTAAACCGGCCATAAATCGGGAAAAATTGTATTTTAACGACTCGACTGTAATCGAGGATAAAGTGCGCGACTTTTGTCCGGTGCGAAGCGGCGGCACATCAATCACTGGACTCAAGAATTTGGGAAATACCTGTTACTCCAATGCCGTCGTTCAGTGTTTGTTGAATACAACAGAGTTTTCGTCGTTTTTTAGCAGAAACTTGAAAATTAACAAAAACTCAAAGTACGGCTCAAATGGTGAACTGGTTATGGAATTGGCGGCACTTTTCCGTCATATGGCTTATCCATCGTTTTATACAATGCTTTCGGCCAAAGACTTCAGGCAAGCGGTGAGCAAACATATAAAGGACTTCGTGCCCGGAGCTCAACAGGACTCACACGAGTTCTTAGTGAAACTCTTTGAGAAACTGCACGACGACTTGAATGAGTCCACCAAATGGGATGTCATCAACACCGGG